TACTTTAAAATTCATTTAAATACACGTACGTAATGTCAAAAGAGATTTCTAAAGTTGTAAAAGCACACTATAGAATATAAAATGAAAATATTTTTAGTAGTTAAATTAACTAAGTCCAATAAATAAAAAATATCGCTAACTACAATTCTGTTCAAAATTCGCTCAACATGATCTTAAAACAAATAAAATGCGATGCAGTAAATAGCTTCTGTTTGCAGTGATCAATTGGCAATACAACTTGCAAATAATATACATTGTAATTATTTGAATTAATAAGTGAAACATAATTAAAATAAGTTTTGGGATGGCTAATCCAGTGATCGTTTTTATAGCCATTATGGTTTTTGTGTACTGGATGTACAAGTTGGCGACTGAGAGGCCTAAAAATTTCCCACCAGGTTCCATAATTATGCATATAATTTAATTAATAGTTTTATGTTTGCGCATATTAGAACTGTTTCATGTTTATAAAAAATGCAAATGAAAGTAAAAATCAATTAATCAAAAAATATAATATGAAATTTATAACGTAGGTCTACCGAGATTGCCAATATGGGGTAGTTATTGGTTTATTTTGCTGGCGAATTATACTTTTTTGCAACTGGCTTTTACTAAAATTGCAAAATTATACAAGTCCAAAATAATTGGATTTTATGCAGGAGATTTTCTTGGCGTAGCTGCACAAGATTATGAAACGATCAAAGAAATTCTGAATAAAAAAGAATTTGATGGAAGAATGGATGTTATATTAGCAAGAATGAGGGATCCAAAAGAAAATCTGAGAGGTAAAATATGTTTTTGCACAAAATACTTCTAAAGTAAAAATATTATTAATTTTTAGGTATATTTTTTACTGATGGTAACTTTTGGCATGAACAACGTCGCTTTGCATTACGTTACATGAGAGATTTTGGATTTGGAAGACGTTGTCCTTCATTAGAAGCAATGATCAATGAGGAGTTAAACGATTTAATTAATTTGCTCAAAAACGGTCCAGTAGAGAAAGATGAAAATGTAAGTAAGTGGAAAGTTTATAAAATTTCCAATGTTTCAAAAATAGAACAATTATTTTTTTGCAGCTGGTTTGCAGAGATGGTTTAATAATGATGCCAAACATATTTTTTATGGCTTTTATAAATTCTTTCATGGCAGTGTTTTCCCGTGAAAGATGGCCAAGAAGTAAACATCATGAATTAATTAAGTTGGGCCGAGGAGCTATGGTTTTTCAAAGAGCTGGAGATGATATGGGTCGGGCCCTATCGCAGACCCCTTGGCTAAGACATATCATCCCTGAAATGTCGGGGTACAACGACCTTAAAAGAGGAAATAAAGTTATATACGAATTCATTGAGGTAATAATTAACAAACTTATTATTAAATTTGTATAATATTAATATTAAAATATCGCATTAAGAAAAATAGAAAACAGTTTTTTAAAAATAAATAACATCAAATTTAGAACATTGTAGAAGAAGACTAAATAAGAGTTGTACCAAATTCTTGAATACACAATATTTGTATTGGAAACTTAGTAAAAAAATATATATTATACAAAATATTGGTATAAAAGTGATTTTATTAAAAATATATGTTAATTTTTATAGTGGCGTGTAACACACGTTTTGTAAAATTTTCGATAATATAAAATAATATCTCGAATTTAAAATGGAAAACAGAAGTTGTTCAATTTCAGTAAAAGAATAAATTACGAGGAATTCATAAAATTTGTAGTAATAATGTATTCTATTAAAGACACAATGTAAATTTACAGTCAAAAGTGCTTAAACTCCCAAATATAAACTTTTTCTTTCGCAAAACATAATGATAGAAGTCCGGTAATAATTATCAAGAAATGTTAAGTTAGGAAAAGTTCGGTGAAAATGGGGGGGGGGTAGGCAAATATTGAATATACATACGTACAATATATGGATTATAAAAGCTAATTGAAATTATATGTCTGTTTTTTATGATATACAAGAAAAATGTTGAATCAATTATGAAACAACACGAAGACGGAGATGATCGCAGTTTTGTGGACATTTATTTAAATGAAATGACAAAAAGGCAAAAAAATATTTTTAATAAAGATGATGAAACAACATTTTCAGGTAATAAATAGAAATAATTATAATAATAAGAAGTTGCATTGCATAAAAATTAATATTTTACAAAAATAATAACATTAGCATTTGAATTCTAAAGAATATTTGTTTAATTTCTTTTTCTCGTAGTCGATCAATTGATACTGACGGGGGCGGATTTTCTCTTTCCGTCGACAACGGCGTTAGGGGTGCAACTATGTTATTTATTTTTTCATCTGATGTATAGACCAGATGTCCAAGATAAAATTCTTGAAGAGCTTGACAGAGTAGTCGGAAGAGGACGATTGCCAAATCTTGATGATAGGCCACAGTAAGTAAAAGAAACGATTTGTTCCAAAAAATATTTAAAAGTTACATCAAGAATTTTTTAAATTGTGATAAAAAATTCGATGCAAGTAGAATTGAATTACAGTATATTAAATATTACATAAAAATGCACTATACAACAAAGGCAAAATATAACCGAGTCGTTGGCCTCGAGTTTCATAAACCTTCTAAAATATAGTTTTAGTAATTATTTTATAATTTCAATTCATTTGTTAATTAGTTATTTAACTGCTTAAACGCAGCTCGGGAAAATAAGGTGGCAATAGTTTAATTTACAAGTCAATAACTCAGTCTTCGTTCAGACTTCGAACGATTCACATCGCTCAGCCGATACCATTTATTTACATAACAAGTAAAAGTGTAAACAATAGTGTTTTCTACCTGCGATAGTGCCCGCATTGCGCAAGTTTATACCGCCAGTCACGTGTCTCCATTGCGGGGGACATGGCGTTGTTTATAAACAAAGTGACATTTATAATCATTATTCTCATCGTGTCAAATAAGTGTCATTCAACAAGTTAATTTTTCAAAGCCTTAAATCATGAATAATATTTTTGAAAGTTTTATCACTGAATCACAACAAATTCTACAAGATGATTATACAACTAACGCAGAATTTGTCGAAACGCATATTCTACCACAAATGAATCAACCGCGGACTTCCTCGCAAACATTAGAAGATATCGAAATGCTTCCGAGTGACAATAATTCGCAATCGCACAAACCATATCCAGTAACATTCAGGGACATGCGATTCAACGCGCAATATCAAGAGTGGAAACTGGCCATAAGTAAAAGAAGACAGCAGAATAAATCTGCACAAACCGCTAATGTCACAAAAAAGGCAACCACAAAAAATTATTGGTTAGATCCGATACCAACCAAGAACTATTATAATGTATTACAATCAGTTGCTCCGGAAAACGACAAAATGGACGAACAGCCTTCAACTTCAGCGCCTCCAGTGGAAAAAGTAGTAACTCCGCCACCGATCTTTGTACATGAGGTCAATGACATAAAACCTCTAATAGAATTGCTAGAAAATAATGTTCAGAATCTCTCTTCACACAAGACCGTTGGTTTGAAGAAAGTTGAAAGTAATACCAAGAATCCCCACACATATAATACCGTCCTCAAATTATTGAGAGACAAAGGTACACAACTGAACTCATTCCAGGAAAAAACAAAAAAGGCATTTAAAATTGTAATCAAAAATCTTCACCATAGTACAGACATCAATATCTTGTCAAAAGAAATCTCAGATCTTGGGCATAAGGTCGTACATATTTACAACCTGAGACAGCGTACTACTAAACTTCCGCTAAACATATTCGTTGTTGAACTGCAGCAAGACAAAAATAATAAAGAGATATACACAATAATGAATAGAGAATTTTTATATAAAACAAAAGTTATAATCGAACCCATGCGCCATCCTCGAGAAGTTCCTCAATGCCGCAGGTGCCAATGTCTAGGACACACAAAAAACTATTGTACAAAAGATCCAAGTTACGTAAAATGTGCCGGTAATCATCTCACTCCAGATTGCTCATGGACGGACCGAATAAACAGTAACGTAAGATGTGCATTGTGCGATTCAAACCATCCAGCTAATTATAGAGGGTGCCCAATATATCAAGCAGAAAAACATCGGCGATTTCCACCACTAAGGAAAAAAGAAATCTCACAACAACCTACTACAAGTAGCAGACACTCACTAATACGGCCAAATGTTTCCTTTTCTCAAATAGTTAACAACGAACAAAACGCAAATAATCATCAAAATCCTCAAGAACATGAATCATCTACAAACATCAATCCAACAAATGTAAGTTATCAAAATGACATGCATGAATTAAAATCTATGGTAAAGACCTTAGTAGACCAAATAGGCACAATGCTCAAACTGCTGACAACCATTCATTCGAATAACAAATAATAAACACATATTTCAAATTTTGCACATGGAACGTCAATGGTTTAATACAGCACTTACAAGAAGTTAAACATTTCATTATACAACGCAATATAGACATACTTCTCATTTCAGAGATACACTTCACAAGCAGAAGTTATATAACGATACCTCAATACTCCATCTATAATACATATCATCCTGACAATAAAGCTCACGGAGGGGCAGCAATATTAATAAAATCAAATATAAAACACCACATCATGGAACCTTTTTGTGCACACTTTCTGCAGGCTACAAATATTTCCGTACAATTTCTTCATTTTATAACTATATCATCAATCTATTGCCATCCCAGACACACAACCCTGAAGAGCCAATTTGAGTCATTTTTCAACGCGCTGGGCAACACATTTATTGTTGGAGGTGACTTCAACTCCAAGCACACGTACTGGGGATCAAGGCTCATAAACCCCAGAGGGCGCGAACTTTACAATACGGTTGCATCACTTAGTCTTTTACCCATATCTACTGGCGAGCCAACCTACTGGCCATCTGACCTCCAAAGAATACCAGATCTGCTGGATTTCTACATCACCAGAGGTTTTCCAAGAAATTCGCTGAAATCTTCCACATGCCTAGACTTAAACTCCGAGCATTCTCCCGTTTTCTTGAATATACTCAATCATAAACCCATCAACAACCAAAATGAATACATGACTACTAAGTTTACATGCTGGAACAAATTTAGAGAGTATTTAGATAACAATCTAAGTTGCAACATACCATTAAAATCCGGGAGTGACCTCAACGCTGCTGTAGACCTGTTAACCACATCTCTTCGGAAGCAATGGCAACTTACAAGATCAACGATAAACAAATCAAAATTACACAAAGCTTGCAAAGAGCTCAAAACCTGTCTTCGAGAACACAACAATAAGATCTTTGAAACCAAACTGAAAAATCTATCAGCTACTTCAGACACAAACTACTCACTCTGGAAAGTAACCAAAAATTTTAAACAACCAATTATTCCTGTTCCAGCTATTAAAGAAGCAAACAACGCATGGGTCAGAAAGTCAACTTGTTTGCCAACTTTTCGAACAAATTTTTCACCCTCTACCACAGCAATGCAGTTCCCAAGAAGAAGAGTTTATTCACAATAATCTAAAAGGTTCTTCAACATACGGCGACCATTCAGACACCCGCTTTTCTCTTTCTGAAGTAGAACTTGAAATAACTAAGTCAAAATCAGGCAAAGCCCCTGGGCATGATCAAATCAAGATACATATGCTGAAGCAACTCCCACAAAAAGCCTTGAGATTCCTAACCATTCTGTTCGACTCCATTATCAGACTAACAGTATTTCCGCGTTCCTAGAAAATTGCAAAAATAATTCTAATACCAAAACCTGGCAAAGATCCTACTCTGATGGAATCCTACAGACCAATTAGCTTACTGCCCATCTTGTCTAAAATAATTGAAAAATTACTGCTTAAAAAGATCAATGCAATTTTGAGTAACAAGAACACAATTCCGCTATATCAATTTGGCTTTAGGAAACTCCACTCAACAATCAAACAAACTCACAGAGTAGTCCAGGAAATCAACTCATCCATACAAGAAAAAAAATTGCACCTCAGCCGCATTTCTAGATATCTCACAGGCTTTTGATAAGGTGTGGCACACCGGTCTCCTCTACAAGATAAAATCAAACCTCCCAGCTAATTTATACCAACTACTTCAATCATACCTGGTAAACCGACAGTTTTTTATTAATATATCACATTGCACCTCTCCTCTGAAGCAAATAAACTCAGGTGTACCACAGAGAAGCGTTTTGGGTCCCACATTATTTTTATTATTTACCTCAGACATGCCTACTACAGCTGACACCAACATCGCCACTTTTCCAGATGATATCTGCATTCTATCGAAACGCGAATGCCCTATAGCTGCGTCTTTAGACAACCTGCAACAGCATTTAAATTTAGTATTCTTGTATACAAAGTCGTCTTAAAACCAATCTGGACTTACGGCTTTTTTCTCTGGAGTAGTGCCAGTCGATCTTATATAAGCATCTTACAGAGAGCTCAGAACAAGCTCCTCAAAAAAATACTGGAGGCTCCCAGGTATGTACCTAATTGGCTTGTTCATCAGGACTGCAACATACAAACAATAGCGGAAGAAATTAGTAGATTTGCTGCGAAATATAAATATAAAAATTGTTTAGGTTCATTCAAAGTTTAATATATGCAACAGATTGAGAAGATTTGCGAAAATAGTTCAAACAGTTGATAAATTTAATTTATCTAATTGCCGTAAACTTACAAAAATACTCTCACGTTATATTTATACAGATGCAGTTTGTCTTGTACTATTGAAAATATTATGAGATTCATAAGTATTCATAAAAATTAATTCAAATATTGTAAAAACGCTAGAAAAATCTAAGCAAATATAATTATCTCTATCAAAGCTATGTATGCGACAAATGCTATAAAAAAATCCCATTTTAATAATTTAATTATTAATAATAAACTCAAACAGCGTTTTTCCTATAAAATAATAGTTTATAAATGCGATCAGTTATTATTATGTTTATTAATATAACGAAGAAGATATTGTAAAAATAATTTCATCATAGATTTGCCTCAAATTTTGCAAAACATAATAAAAAGGAATAAAGCAGTATTACTACAGTATAATGTAAAATTAAAATATATTTTAAAATAAAGAATAGAAGTTCGAATTTATAAAACCCAGTATTAGATTTAGTACGATTAAAAAACAAAGTTAGTATCAAATGTTTAACTAATATTTCGAAAAAGAATCGAAAATGAAATTTTTTATATATCTGTATGTTTCAAATGTTACTGAACATTTTGGCATACTTTATATGAAATTGATGTATGTGTGTGTTTTTCATAGAGGTACAAAAAATACATAGCACCGCCATCGTTAATACTCTGCCGCCCAGCTTATGGCAGATAACAATGAACGGTGGTGTGGAGATTTTTACCCACAAAAAAGCCGCTATTTTGGGCTGATAAGTGTTCTGCTTAAGAATATTTACCCATATCTCTGCTCCGTAAAGCTGTACACAGTGGACTACGTCAAGCAGGACTCGTTTTCGGCCATGATTCTCTTGTGGAGCGTAGTGTAGTGCGTGCCATCTTTCTCGCAGTTCTGCTATCTCTGATAAACTCCCAAAAAAAGGCCTCTGATAAACAAACTCTGCTCGAGGTCCATGAATAGCCTCCTGTCTCTTGTTTGTTTAAATTCTGGTAGTTCGACGGGCATCGTCTTTCTCCCGTGGGAGTTACCACGCACACTGCGCTATATGGATCAACCACTCATCTCCCTCGAGCAGTGTCCCCTTATCCGCTTGCGTACGTGGCCATAGATCAGATGGTGTGACCAACCCTTCTTGCCGAAAGGGGAGTTTTTGTTTTTTACCGCGAGAGCTATTTTATTTCGCCCTTACCCTCTAATCTGAAGATCAGCGAGCTTTCTCCTAAAGGATACACGGATGGTGGCTGTTACTCTTCAGCTCCAACGCCAAATTTGGTCCGCGAGGGCTATTTTATTTCGCCCCAATCCGCCGATCTTACGACCGGTTAGGACACCCCCTATCCGCCACCTGGGGACGCGCCCGGTGGGAGTTTGGCTTCTCCCGACGGGAAAAAATCGTCATTTATACTAAAAACATTAGTATAAGTAGTAAAAATATTTAATGGGAGATTAAAATGCATCGATGTAGGATAAATATAATAAGAAAATATAACTAGTGTTTAATATTTGGTTTGCCAGAACATTTAAAATGTCGCCAGCTGAACCGATGGTAATTCTTGTATGAAAGATAAAAATAATATCAAAATGATTCCCATGAAAATTTAATTCAAAACATTCTTATATAAATAAAAAGCGATTTCCCTGAAGTTGATGAAAATAAAAATGGAGAACATTTTTTGCACACTATTGTGTTGAAGTTCGACATATACAGATATGTTATTTGAAATATGCATGAAATTTAAAATCTTATCAAAGCTTTAATTGCAAAGTAGTTATATAAAAAAATGTATTAAATAATATAAATATATTTCAAATGTATAGGATAAATTTTGATATTTTTTAACAAATATAGTTGTCGTTATAGACAAAGCCAAAAAATGATAATATCAGAAAAGTTATATAGGTAAATTAGTAAATAGTAAAAATATATAAATATACGTTTAAAATATAAATTTTAATATTGTTATTCGACAAAAATTGTTGCTTTTTTTTGAAGAAATAAAAAAAGATCATTTATATTAAAAACATTAGTATAAGTAGTAAAAGTGTTTAATGAGAAATATAGCTAGCGTACGAAACCCTAGGTCAAATGGTGTGACCGACCCTTCCAGCCAAAAGGGGAGTTTTTGCTTTTTACCCCGAGAGCTATTTTATTTCGGCCTTACCCTCTGATCCGAAGATCAGCGAGCTTTTTCCGAAAAGACACACATGGTGGCTGTTACTCTTCAGCTCCAACGCCAAATTTGGTCCGCGGGGGCTATTTTATTTCGCCCCAATCCGCCGATCTTACGACCGGTTAGGACACCCCCTATCCGCCACCTGGGGACGCGCCCGATGGGAGTTTGGCTTCTCCCGACGGGTAAAAAAATGGACATTTATATTAAAAACATTAGTATAAGTAGTAAAAATTAATTTAAATACATATTGCAAAAATGCAAGACAAACTTAAGTAAATACAATTATCTATATCATAGCTGTGTAGTGTAATACATTAATAATGTATTAAAAAAACGTTTATTAATATAACAAAGGAGATATTGTAGAAATAATTTTATTATGGATTTGCATCAAATTTTGCAAAAACACAATGAAATCGCATAAAAAATATTAATTCAGTATTATGTGTAATTAAAATATATTTTAAAAATAAAGGAAGGAAGTAATAATATGCAATTTATAAAAATCCAGTACTAGATTTAAAACGATTAAAAACAAAGTTTTTATCAAATATTGAAATAACATTTTTAAACAGTTAAAAAAATAGATTATATAAAAACAATGCATATATTATAATAGAAAGGATATTAAGTGTTAAGAAGGCATATACAATTGTAAAAATACTTTTTTATACTTTTAATAATCATTTTATAATTCAACAATATTTATTTGTTGATTAGTTATTTAACTGCTCAAGCGCAGCAAGCGAAAAAATAATGTAACAAAAGTTTAATTCACAAGTCAATAACATATTAATAAATTAATCATAAAAATTAGTCTTTGAAAAAAATATTTTGTTTATATTAATAATATTAAGAAATAATTCTCACATATATAATCAATAAGATTGAATAAAAATATGTATGCACAATATTATAATTATCATTCATAATTGAATTTATAAGTGCATCATATGATAAAAATTTTTAAATTGCCATTTAGATAATACAATATTTTATCGAATCATCAATTACAAAAACAAGATGCCGACAAGAACTGTGGACTACATTCCACTAACAATTCGCTAACAATTTCTCAATCCGAAAAGTAATCGCAAAGAAAAATCTGCTCTTTTCATTTTTTTTTTATTTTATATAGCGAAGGAAATGCATTTACGCATACCAAGACTAGGTCATTTGTCATGGTATGTCGGACTCAATACCGCCTGGGTATAATACCGACTAAAACCTCCGCTTATTTCTTGTCTCGGATAAAGTTATTCGAGAAAACTGAATATTTTGAAAATGTGACCGAGCAGGTTTTAAATTTAGGTGCAGTGTTTTTCCGCCAGCAAAAATTTATTCATTTCCAAATCAGGATTAACTATGAAACTTCTACTTCTTCCTCAATAAGAGCTGGCGTTCCATAAAGAAGAGTGCTGGGTCCAATATTTAAGACATAGAAGAACAAATCTTGCCATATCATTTTTTATTATCAGTATTTTCGATATTCAAACAAAATTTTTTGGAAATTAAAAAAAAAATTGTGCCTCTCTCCAAAAGCAAACGTTTTGTCAACACAAGTAGAAAATTTTTAAATCATTCAAATCGGATGCTCCGTTCTCTCAAAAACTAGATTTCTATTTTTTGCACTCTTTATTCCGTATCTCTAAAACGGTTGGACCTGTCTTTGTCATAAACTAATCAGCACATCTCCATAAAAATAGAAATCGAATGTTTTTTGGACCATTCAAATCGCTTGATCCGTGCGGCCGAAAACGGGATCGAAAAATTGCGGACACACAAAACACACACACACACATACATCCATTTTTTCTAAGGTATACCAAAATGTTCAGAAACCAAAACGTGAAGATAAGCAAAAAATTTCAATTTCGACTTTTTATTGTGACAGAAGGTTACAGACCTAAATTGGCTAATGAGACGCAAATCAATCATGTCATTCGATAATAAGGTATTGACATATAAATCTATAATAAATCCCATCTGATATAGAGCTTTGGGGTTGCGCAAGTATGTCCAATATTGTTTTAATTTATTGCCAAATCTTGATGACAGACCGCACTAAGTAAAAGAAACAAGTTGTTCCAAAAAATATTTAAAAATTTCATCAAGAATTTAAAAATTAATTAAATAATTTGATGCAAGTTGAATTGAATTACCGTACACTAAATATTACATAAAAAATGCACAACACAACAAAGAAAGAAAGGTAGCAAAAGTGTATTGCACAAGTCAATAACAATTGATAATAAAAAAATATAATTATATATTATTGAATAAAAAATTAAAAATTTTATATTAAAAATTTACATGAATTTATTGACCTGTTGACAAATTGGTAGTATAAAACAATATATATAAAAATGCAATAGAAAATATGTTGTTCAAGAGTTTAACAAAAACACTTGGTCGATTCAGTATGTATTAAAAAATTGTATAGGTTTATTCAATATTTTAATAAATGCAACAGCAAAAATAGTTTGAACAGTTGAAAAAATAAATTATATAAGTTCAGTTAGCAAAATTATGTTCATTAGAAAAGTTCCACGCGATGCCGTAGACTTACAAACATACTCCCATGTTATAATTGTACCGATGCAGTTTTGTGGTATTAAAAATATTATAAGATTTCAAAAATATATATTATAAGTTAAAGTTTTTGTCACATGAAAATGATTAAATTTACATATATAAAAAAAAACGCTAGACGAAGCTAAGCAAATATAATTATCTCCACCATATAGGTTATATATGCAACATACGCTATAATAGAAATAGGTTTATTCAACCTTTTAATAAATGCAACAGCAAAATTAGTTTAAACAGTTGAAAAAATGATTTATCTAATTTTAAGTTAGCATAATAATTATTAAAAAAGTTACACACGATGCCGTAGACTTACAAACATACTCGCACTTAATAATTGTGCAGATGCAGTTTTGTACTATTAAAAATATTATAAGATTTCTAAAATATATTATATAACTTGGTTTGGTCACATAAAAATGATTAAAATTACATATATAAAAATATAGAAAAAATTAAATAATTTCACAAAAATGCGTAAAATATTTTCACAAAAGTATATTTATATATTTATAAAAAATTATTCAAATATTGCAAAAACGCTAAACGATATAATTGAATTATCATCACCGAAGCTATGTATGCAACTTACGCTATAATAGAAATAGGTTTATTCAAAATTTAATAAGCGCAAGTGCAAAATTAGTCTGAACAGTTGAAAAAATAATTTATATAAGTTTAAGTTAAAAAAATAATGTTAATTAATATATTTCAGCATGCCGTATACGGAGTCATGCCTGCGCGAAACTATGCGAATTGAAACCTTGGTTCCTTTAAATTTGCCGCATCGCGCCCAAACTGACACCTCCTTAAATGGATACAATATACCAAAGGTAAAATTTTAAACAATTTACGATTGAAATTTTACGAATGCTGTGCTTTTAATACTTTCAGAACACTATGGTCATAACCAATTTATGGAGTATACACCACGATTCCGATATATGGGGAGATCCTGAAGTATTTCGACCTGAACGATTTTTGGATTCACGCGGTTTGTTAAAGAAAAAAGATATCACTTTACCATTTGGAGCAGGTAGACACAAAATCCATTAAATTACACGATATATAGAAAATGAATCATACAAAATATCAATGCATATAACATGCATATAAACCTGATATAAATACATTTAATAAAAGTCATAACTATGATATGAGTCATATATGAGTTTGAAAATATTAGAAGAAAAGCTTGAATTTGCTAAAAGACTAGAAGATGTAAAAAATTGCTCACAAAATCAAGATTAAAATGCTGATATGTTCTCGAAAATGTTTAATTTCAGGAAAACGTTTGTGTGCTGGAGAAACGTTTGCACGTCAGAATATGTTCCTGATGTTTGCATCCTTAGTTCAAAATTTCATATTTTCACCAGCACCCGGAAAAGAGAAACCGCCGCGCCGGGGAGAACTATCAGGATTCATAATTTCTCCAAAGGACGTTTGGATAAAGTACCAAGTGCGGTATAGTTAACATGCAAATATAATTCGGAAATATGATATTATAAAATATCTCTTAAAATAATGGATAAAATGTAATATAAAATTGTAAGCTTGAGTATTTACTCCTATAAAATACATATATAGAAATATAGAAAAATTAAATATTTGTTCAAAAAATGCGAATCATATTTTTACAAAAATATATTTATGATGCATTCATAAAAATTAATTCAAATGTTGTAAAAAGGCTAGACGAAGCTAAGCAACTATAATTATCTCCAACAAAGCTATGTATGCAACATACGCTATAAAAAAATCCCATTTTAGTAATTTAATTATTAATAATAGATTCAAACCACGTTTTTCCTATAAACTCACAGTTGATAAATGCGATAAGTTATTATCATGTTTATTAATATAACGAAGGAGATATTGTAAAAATAATTTCATCACGGATTTGCATCATTATTAATTTTTGCATCAAATATTAATTCAGTATAATTTGTAATTATATTATAAGGTGTAATATATTTTAAAAGGATAGAAGTACTGACATACAATTTATTAAAATCCATAACCAGATTCAGTACGATTAAAAACATAGTTAGTATCAAATGTTAAACTAATATTTCGAAAAAGAATCGAAAATAAAAAAAAATTATATATCTTTACGTTTCAAAGGTTTCTAAACATTTTGGCATACTTTAGATAAAATTGATGTATGTGTGTGCGTGTTTTTCATACAGGTACAAAAAAAATATGACACCGCCATCGTTAATATTCTGCCGCCTGTTCTGACAGAAAACAATGAACGGTGGTGTGGACATTTTTATCCACTAAAAAACAATGCCGCAATTTTGGGCTGATAAGTGTTCTGCTTAAGAATATTTACCCATATCTCTGCTCTGTAAAGCTGTACAGAGTGGGCTACCTCAAGCAGGACTCGTCGTTTTCGGCCATGATTCTCTTGTGGAGCGTAGTGTAGTGCGTGCCATCTTTTCGCAGTTCTGCTATCTCTGATAAACTCCCAAAAAAAGGCCTCTGATAAACAAACTCTGCTCGAGGTCCATGAATAGCCTCCTGTCTCTTGTTTGTTTAAATTCTGGTAGTTCGACGGGCATCCGTCTTTCTCCCGTGGGAGTTACCACGCACACTGCGCTATATGGATCAACCACTCATCTCCTCGAGCAGTGTCCCCTTATCCGCTTGCGTACGTGGCCATAAATCAGATGGTGTGACCAACCCTTTCTGCCGAAAGAGAAGTTTTTGTTTTTTACCGCGAGAGCTATTTTATTTCGCCCTTACCCTCTGATCCGAAGATCAGCGAGCTTTTTCCGAAAAGACACACGTGGTGGCTGTTACTCTTCAGCTCCAACGCCAAATTTGGTCCGCGGGGACTATTTTATTTCGCCCCAATCCGCCGATCTTACGACCGGTTAGGACTTCCCCTATCCGCCACCCGGGGACGCGCCCGGTGGGAGTTTGGCTTCTCCCGACGGGTAAAAAAATGGTCATTTATATTAAAAACATTAGTAAAAATAGTAAAAATTAATTTAAATACATATTGCAAAAATGCAAGACAAACTTAAGTAAATACAATTATTTACATCACAGCTGTATGCAACAAAAATTACCATTTTAATATTTATTAATAATGTATTCATTATTATTTTATTCTAATGCAAATTCATATTAATTCTAATGCAAAAAAATTTCGATGAGGATGAAAATGTGTCGATCATATGTCGACACGTCGTCATATATATATATATTGTAAAAAAAATATATTGCATTTAGTTTCACATAATAGTTTAAAACAAAATTATAATATTATTGAATGAAAAACTTTTTCATTCATAAAAGTAAATCTTAATAGAAGTAAATATTGAAAATAGTAATAAATTAATCATAAAAATTAATAATTGAAAAAATATTTTGTGTATAGTAATAACATGAAGAAATAATTCTCACATATATAATTAATAAGATTGAATAAAAATATGTACGCAAAATATTATAATTATCATTCATGATTAAATTTATAAATGCATCATATGATAAAAAATTCTAAATTACCATTTATATAAGACAATATTTTATCGAATTATCAATTACAAAAATAAGATGCCGACAAGAACTGTGGATTCCATTCACTAACAATTTGCAATTCAAAAATCAACATTCATTTATACAGCAACAAAATAAAATGTTTAAATAGATACTGATATTACTTGCTTAATGGATGTATTTTTATAAAAATAATTCATATAATATTTTCATCAATATTTAAAAAAAAAGATGTTTTTTTATTTAATACAATTTATTCACATATAAAATAATTCCCAATTCCCGATGACCTATTTATGAATTCTGAATTATGAATTATGAAGTGTTCTTATCAGTTTACACATATTAGCAAAATTATCAATAGAAAATTATTATAAATATGAGACAGTTGTATTGAAACGATAAAATTCAATAAATATATTAATGTGTTAATGACATCAAATTAGGTAAACATATCATATCTCACATAAACTGATATAATTCATTATTCAGTTAATATTTGTTATCTTGTTAGAAAATTTTAAGATTATAAATCGTTCTGAATCATTTAATATTTGGAGATCAATAATATGATAATGTTATTAGGAACACACTTTAAGAGCAAACTAAATGAAGATTGTAGATAGTAGATTATTTTTGTAGAAAATTGAAAAATTAATTAGCAATATCTGATATTTAATAAAAAAAAATAGAGTACAAAATTGCTTGGTTAAAAATTTTATTACTATACATAAATTCCATTGGATAAAAGTTTTGGAAAATACTTTTAAGAAAACATTTAAATCTAGAGGATTTTGTTTAAAAATATCTAGTGATGCCAAAGCAAAAAGTAGTAAAATTTATTCATTTGAAAATCTGATGCATTTAAAAATAAAATAGTCAAAAGAATATAAAAATATATTTAAATATAAAATTATTATTAAATATAAAAACTGAGATTAAAACTTGCAAATACTCCATTAAGCAAAATATCACTATCAAAATTCCATTATCAACATAAAAATAGCAAAAATATCAACATAAAAAATATGTTTATTTAAATATTGCACAAATCTATCAATTTGTGAAAAACGTGAAAAAAATACTGTCATATTAAAACTGCAGAATGCTTTACTCAAAAACACAATGATATCTTATGACTTGGAAATAAAGTTTGTTATATAGAACACGACTTTCTATAACTGCACATCGTCGAATTAAGTGCAATTTTTTTAACAACAGATATAAATGTAGGCTAAGATATTAAAAAAGCTTGAGCCTTTTTTTAAAGTTAAAGTATCATAAAGAAATAACATATTTAAAAATACTATGTTCGTTAGCAGAGCAATAAAATTACTTTAATAACTTCAATGAAAAAAATCTTTCAGAATAATAAAATACAACACAATGATTTAGAAAATTTAAAATTCAATTAGAGGGAGCAAAGTACACATAAATGCGAATACAAAATTATAAAGGTAACATAGGTAATGTTTGAAGCAAAATTCTATCATTATATTTAATAAACATAACTATTATATATATATATATATATATATATATATATATATATGTATATATATATATAGATTTATATATTATATAGATATATGAATGCGTAGTAAAAAATCTATTAATGTGCAAAATAATTCACAAAAATGCATTACAGTGTGATAATTTAATTCGACAAATACATTAATCTAGGATCAGATTAAAATTAAAACGTCAACAAAGTCACAAAATTAATACATGAATACATTTATCAATACATTAAATAAAATATTGTTTGAAATTAGTTATTATTGAAAAATATTAGCAAAGTTTTAAAAAATATCGCACATTAAAAGTAACTATATTCAGTAATACATTCCATACGATATGTTATATATCGTTATTGTTGACATAACTAAGAATATAATTGATGATACATTAATAGTCATCAAAAAGAATATTTTAAGATTAAATCATAAAATGTTTCCAATTTATATTAACATCTTTAAAAAAATGCAAAAAAGGCACAAAATAGAACACAGATAGTGAAAATTAAAATTCAATCATATGTTATGGTTTTGAAATAGTAGTACAAATGATCTGAACAAAATATTTTCATGAAAAGTACAACAGATTTAAAAAGTAAGAAATATTTGTTACTAAAAGTTAGAAGTATTTTACTAAAGTAAAAAAGTGCAAGTATTTAGGCATCATATAAAAATTTTAAAAATAAATGCATATATCAATGTGCTTAAATTTGCAATCAATATACTGAAACAAATAACATTTTGATTAAAATTAGTTATTATTGAAAAATATTAGCAAAATTTTAAAAAATATCGCACATTAAAAGTAACTATATTCAGTAATACATTCCATAAGATATGTTATATTTCGTTTTTGTTTTGAGATAACTAACAATATTATTGATGATACATTAATAGTCACCAAAAAGAATATTTTAAGATTAAATCATAAAATGTTTCCAATTTATATTAACATCTTTAAAAAAATGCAAAAAGGGCTCAAAATAAAACACAGATAGTGAAAATTAAAATTCAATTATACGAGTATATTATGGTTTTGAAATAGTAGTACAAATGAAATGAACAAAATATTTTTATGAAAGGTACAATAGATTTAAAAAGTAAGAAATATTTGGATTTGTAACTAAAAGTTAAAAGTATTTTACTAAAGTAAAAGTGCAAGTATTTAGGCATCATATAAATATTTTGAAAATAAATGCATATATCAATGTGCTTCAATTTGCAATCAATGTACTGAAAAAAAACATGAACTATTAAAGTCTAAAACGGAAAAAATCCATATTATGATGAAAGTGGCATATAATGAAAAAAATGAATGAATGTAATGCATTAATAGTCATCAAAAAAATATTTTAAGATTAAATCATAACATGTTCCCAATTTATATTAACATCTTTAAAAAAAATGCAAAAAACGCACAAGATAGAACACAGATAGTGAAAATTAA